GGAAGCAGGCTCCCTGCAGAGCACAGAGCCCGATGTGGGGCTCGATCCCAGGACACTCGGACCATGACCTGAGCCGAAGGCAGAGGCTTTAACCCACTGAGCCACCCAGGTGCCCCGAGAAGAGCCTTTTTTAAAATATTTTATCCACTGAGTGGAGAGGAGGGATACTTCTCCTCACTAGCACAAAAGAAATTCTGAGTGGACTCCAGGAATCATCATTTTGTGATTCTCAACAGTTTGCTGAGCTACTTGAATGGAGGAAATATACAAATTCTTTCAACTTGGTTTTAACGATCTTCTAAGATATGACGTATAATTTAATGATATGATAAGAAGTGCCCTGTGACCCAGTGATTCTGTAGGAGCATAGTCTATGAAAACAGATTTAAACATAAAAAGTTATTATTTAGGGGCGCCTGGGTGGCTCAGTGGGTTAAAGCCTCTGCCTTCCGCTCAGGTCGTGATCCCAGGGAGCCTGCTTCCTCCTCTCTCTCTCTGCCTGCCTCTCTGCCTACTTGTGATTTCTGTCAAATAAATAAATAAAATCTTTAAAAAAAAGTTATTATTTATATTAAGGAAAACTAGAAACATTTTAAATACTTAGTAGGGGAATAAAACACTGCATACACTTTCTAAGAAATATTGTGCAGCCGTTAAAAATGTTACATTATAAAAGCATGAGAAAATGCCTTGTTTACTTTTAGCAAAAGAAAGAAAGACCTAAATTATACCATTGTATGATTACTACTACATTTTTTTCCTAATCAATACTCACAGAAAAAGAGAGACTAGTAAATAATAACTATGTTTGGGAAAATGGGATTTTTTTTTTTTTGGTCTATCAGTTTGCATTTTTCAAATTTTAAAGAATTCATACAGTACTTGTTTAAAATAAAACACATATACATAGAAAATACATACAAACAAAAAGGAAACGAGCATGCAAAGGGAATTGTGGAAATTCTTAGCATAGGCAGAGGGAGAGTGGAGCTTTCCAATGAAAAGTTTGACCAAAACTTTCATAGAAACCTAGGAATTTCATAGGGCATTTCATAGACAGGCATTTCATAGAAACCTAGCAATGAAATATTGTTAAAACATACTGGAAATCTCAGCTACAAAAGCAGAAGTGCTTTGGACCAAGTTATAAATATATAAATATGCATTTGTATATATATGGAAATAAACATACAAACTACTTGGAAATCAGAAAATTGTAGATCTGTTTTTAAGATTCTTTGAGGAGTTATTGGGTTCTGTACTTTTTTTTTATTTTTTTATTTTTTTAATTTTTTTTTAAGATTTTATTTATTTATTTGACAGAGATCACAAGTAGGCAGAGAGAGAGGGAGGAAGCAGGCTCCCCACTGAGCAGAGAGCCCGATGCAGGGCTCGATCCCAGGACCCTGAGATCATGACCTGACCCGAAGGCAGAGGCTTTAACCCACTGAGCCACCCAGGCACCCCGGATTCTGTACATTTTTACCTACTTGGGAACTTTCTCAACTTTTAATTTTAAGCAGTGGGTTATGAGGATTATGTCCACACACAAACCCTGCCAGAGTTCCATGTAATGTGGTACTCCCTGATCCACTGGGGTGTCTCAAATTCTCTTTGTAGTTTTAGCTTTGAACAATGTGACTGTACAAAAAGGGGGGCATGTAATAGGGGCTGAGTATATTTTTCTGAAGAAGCAAATTTAGTGCTGGAAGAGATTTAAAACTATGATTTACTGACTATATCATAATATAAATAAAGCATGTCATTGCTACCATCCAATTTGAAAAAATTAACATATCAGAAAGTCAGCAGACTCGATGATCATAAAACACTAAACTCTTCAAATTATTAAACACAACTAATCTCTCATAGGCTGGCAATGCAACTGGAAAATGGTAGTTCTATTTATCCTTTATTTAACTCAATAAAAATAAATCTTACTGTCATTGTTAAATAGTTATTAAAATACTTGAAGAGAAAAATTATTATAAATATAGCATCTTCCATTGTTCCTTCTGTTTCCCTCTTTTTTTAATGTCCAGGAAGAAGAATTAAGAAGGAAATTTTTCTTTTATTCTATTATCTACAAAAGGTCAGGTCTGAAATATCTACTTGAGGTCACAGTTTAAATTTATACTACCCCCTTAACAGAGAGCACTTTCACCTCGATTCCCAAATGATCTTGCTTAATTTCTATCCAGAGTCCTTACCACACAAAGGAAATGTCTCAGACTTGCAATCATACAAGCATTCTCTGTGTGTTCTTTTCCCAAAGAGAAGTTTGTGCAGAGCCAATCCCAGTCTGGGCCAATTCATTCTCCGTGATCAGTGAGCATGCCATTTGCAAGGTGACAGATGGGGAAGTCTGCGAACTAGGCCTGGGGTTGTATTTTCCAATGAGGCGCACACCCAGGATTTCAACATAGTTGGCCTGGAGTGCTAAAACACCTGTTCTAAGAACAAGCAAAGTTTCTCCTGAGCATGTGCCACACATTCACAGCTAGGCACAAAGAAAGCAGAATTATGCGGATGCAAGTTGGGCTTTTTTGTAGATGCGGCTGTTTTAGAGCTTTTTAAAACCTCCCCCCAGCAATATAAGCCCAGTCATATAATGCGGGAGCCACAATGGCTGTTCTCAGGGCACAGTAATGACGGGAATAAAAAGCATTTATTAAACAAAATTTTACTATGATCTTGGGCTGGGTGGGCACTATGTGACACAGAAGAGAAGTGATCAATGCCCTTTGGTGGCTTATGATCATAAAGTTATTTGGAGGCTTAAAAATAATAAAGTTTATAGAGTTGTTTTTTTTTTTTAAATCTAAGACTAAAACACTCCTCTTTGATGTTCCCTTTGCTTGCAACTTGGAGCATTTACAAAAAATATTTAAAGCAAATCTTCCCCTGGAATCCCTGGTTGGCTTAGCTGGTAGAACATGCAACTCTTAACTATAGGCTCGTGAGTTCAAGCCCCACGTTGGGCGTGGATACTTAAAAAAAAATCTTCCCCTAACCTACTATTGATTTTTTAAATGTTTTGAAACAATATACAACAGCAATATATTTTTAGTCTTTGGGTTTCTAAAAAACATAGTCATGGGGCGCCTGGGTGGCTCAGTGGGTTAAAGCCTCTGCTTTCAGCTCAGGTCATGATTCCAGGGTCATGGGATCGAGCCCCGCATGGGGCTCTCCGCTCAGCGGGGAGCCTGCTTCCTCCTCTCTCTCTGCCTGCTTCTCTGCCTACTTGTGATCTCTGTCTGTCAAATAAATAAATAAAATCTTAAAAAAAAAAAAAAAACAAAAAAAAACATAGTCATTCCAGTCTATTAAACAAAGATATTTAATGTACTCTATACTAACGTAATAGCTGATACGTACTGAGTACTTATTATGTGCCAACTACGATCTCCCTGATTTTGTGCAACAATCCATGATGTAAATGCGTTTTACAGATGAGGAAACAAAAGTGAGGTCAAATGGATAAAAATGTTTTAAAACTGGACTGTTGTGGCACCTCTGTGGCTCAGTCATTAAGCATCTGCCTCGGGCTCAGGTCATGATCCCAGGATCGTGGGATCGAGCCCCATATCCGGCTCCTTGCTCAGTGGAAAGCCTGCTTCTCCCTCTCCCTCTCCCCCTGCTTCTGTTCCCTCTCTTGCTGTCTCTCTCTGTCAAATAAATAAATAAAATCTTTAAACACACACACACACACACACACACTGGACTGTCACAATTGCACAGTTTTAATTTAGTTCAAAAAAAATCACTGTATACTAGAAATGAATGAATTTTGTTATGTAAATTATACCTCAATAAAGCCACTTAAAAAAGTATATATATACACCAGAAAGAGAAAAAGAGGGATGAAGGAATCAACTGACCCACTTAATAACATCTAGGAAATAGCTGAACCAGAGCTCAGGTACAGCTGGTCCAACCCCAGAGGCCAGGCCATGCTGCCCCTCTAAAAAAAGAAACTCAGGTCAAGAGGTGAGAAATGAAGACTCTGTAAGGGAAATGACGAACAAGACTTCCTACACTGGACACTCTTCTTAGATATTTTATTTCTTCACGCCTGTTCAGTTCAATTCCACATCCCTGGACACACTGTTACATGAATTTGTGCAATTTCTTACATATTTGCATTTTCATATCAATTAAATATATAGTAATACATGGAAGTGTAACTTTAAAAAAATAACGGAGCTGTCATTATGAACTTTTATCAGACCATTGCTCTTTGTGGAAATTTATCTTTCTCCCTTCCTGGAGAACACACTGTTTCAGCATTACTACTTCTCTAAAGTAACTGAAAGCTGCAGCCTTGAGTTCATTACATTTTTTCATTAACCACCTCATCCATCCTGCCATAAGCAAACAAATCCAGAAACTAAAGACTGCCACCACATGTTGGTCTTTCGATTTCTTCTTTCTCTTAACTGCCGAGTGTCCACATTCTGAGCTGGCTTAAGAATTCTGTGTGACTGCACCTGTGGTTGGCAAAGAGGTGGCTGGCAACGAAATCCATGCTGAGCCCCAAATAGATCACTCACTTCCCTGTAAAAGCTAAACTTGGTTTTATTTCTATGATAATGCCCCGAGCTCAAGAAGGAATCTCATTCCGTAACGTAACGTGGAATATGAGCTTCATCCTTATTTCATTCCCACGGTTCAGCCACCCCGACGACACACACTAGCTCTCTAGACGAGTCCTAAGGAAGGCAACAGGACTCAAGGACCTTGGACCTTCTGTCTGAACTTCTTTGATCTCCTTAGAATCCGCACTGTGGAAAGAACTAATTTCCTTTTTGTTCTTCTCCAATCCAAGTGTGAAGTCACATGATAAACTGAAATCGATATATAGAGATGATTCCTTTTTAGAGCCATCATTTACTGGATGTATATTATGGCCCATGCACTGTACCAGCAAACTTTACATACATTATTTCTCATTATAACAACGCTGCAAAATATCCCCATTTTATAATAGCTAAGGGCCTTGAAACTCAGAGTTAAGTATCTTTCAGATCATACAGCTAAAAGGTGGCAAGATGAGATTCATCTGCCAGATCCCCAGACTCACATTCTTCCCACCATAACCCAAACTACCTTGTCTCTCTACCATCTCTTAGGACAATATTATTTTTAACATCAATATGCAAACTTATTAAAAGTGGAACTGTTATACTCCGTTAAAGGTCATTTCGAAAAGCTCGTAGCTGACACTTCAACTCAACTAAAATATACTCAACTAGAATTATTCTAGTTAAAAACAAGCCATAAGGGTGCCTGGGTGGCTCAGTTGGTTTGGTGACTGCCTTTGGCTCAGGTCATGATCCTCGAATCCTGGGATCGAGTCCCACATCCGGCTCTCTGCTCAGTGGGGAGTCTGCTTCTCCCTCTGACCCTCCCCTTCTTGTGCTCTCTCTCTCTCAAATAAATAAACAAAATCTTAAAAAAAAAAAACAAACCCAAAACAAAAACCAAAAAACAACCATCAGTTGTTACTCAAGTAATTACATGCTTTTATGTGATAATCATTAAAGTTGAAAAAAATCAAAAGGTTTACTCACTTGCCATTCTTTTTCTTCTTTCAGAATCTGAATCATTCATGTTACTAATAAAGAATAAAACAAAGGACAAAATTAACCATTGTCTCCTCATATCTTCTTTTTAAAAGGATGGGAATTATTTCACGAGACAAATATTGGGGAAAAACATTTAAAAATCACATTGAGGGGCGCCTCGGTGGCTCAGTTGGTTAAGCAACTGCCTTCGGCTCAGGAGGTGATCCCAGAGTCTGGGGATGGAAACCCACACTGGGCTCCTTGCTCAGTGGGGAACCTGCTTCTCCCTCTCCCATTCTCCTGCTTGTGTTCCCTCTTTCACTCTCTCTCTGTCAAATAAATAAATAAAATCTTTTTTAAAATAATCACATTGAATCAGTGTCTGAAAGGAAGATAGAAAATACTGAGTTTGATTAAAAAATATATAAAATACTACCTTGTTTATTTTAGCTAATCCCAAACCTTTTATTTTTACAAATTAAAAAGTTTTGTCTAAAAAAAATCTAAATTGTCTGATACTTTTATTTTAAATAGTTTTCTGAAAATAATTCCATTTTTTCCTTTTCTTGATTAATCACGTTCATCTATACAAACAGCCCTCAGGGGCAATTAAACTGGGAAGAGCTACTTCTCTCCATCTCTCCCTTCAGAAGCCACGACCTACAATGTCTTTACTCCCAAGTTTGTTGCTTCTACTTCACTGTAATTTATGAAGCAAAGTAACTTCCTTTTTTTTTTTTTTTAAGATTTTTTATTTATTTATTTGACAGAGAGAGAGATCACAAGTAGGCAGAGGGAAGGCAGAGAGACAGGAAGGGGGAGCAGGCTCCCTGCGGAACAGAGAGCCCAATGCTGGGCTCAATCCCAGGACCCTGGGATCATGGCCTGAGCTGAAGGCAGAGGCTTAACCCATTGAGCCGCCCAGGTGCCCCACAAAGTAACTTCTCACAAAGGTATATGATGTGACAACTAATAGGTACTGGCTAGAAGCCTGGGGAGCTGTCCTCAGGGCTTCGGGGCATGGGTTCTCCGGGCCACCAGGGAAGCAGTGTTATCAGAGTTGAGGTGAACAGACCAGTGCTGTCTTCATGGGTGGGGTGTTGCCACAGATACCTCAGCAGGTACAAAGTACCCAGGAGTAAAAGGGAAATGTTGGCCCCTGGGGCAAATAATACATTATATGTTAAATTAAAAAATTAAAATTTAAAAAAAAAAAGGGAAATGTTAGAAAGTTGAAGGAAAACTTGATGGGTTACCTCTGCTAAATATGTCACATGCTTTTTCAGAAGTGGTTAGATTACCTTACCTCTTCAGTCTCAAAAGGTACTGGGATACCCAGGCGGGGAAAAGCTGGTGCTCTGAGATCATCTTCAGTGCCCAGAATTGCTAAATGAAAACGTGGTAATAGGCTGCTCATTATATGAATATTAGTTGTTTATTTTAACTTCATGTTACTTTATGTTCCTTAATAATAACTTGTAATATTCAGATTTTTTAAGACATGCTAGTTTAAATAGAAGTAGTACTAAGATAGAATATGTTTTTCTTTTCTTTATATAACCTTCAACTCTAAAATTCTAATTCACGGAAATTCATGTAATGGCATGATTTAAGATAAACCAAGTCTTTACAGAGATTACACGTGAGTACTTATATTATCCAAAAGCCTTCCTTTAAATAATATATAATTTACTTTTAAAAACTTAATTCGCAACTGCATTTTATTTTGTCATCCATGAATTCATTCAGCAAATATTTATAGAACGTCAGTGCTGTGCTGGGAACTGTCAGGTGGGATGGATATAAAAATTAATAAGACACGGTTCCACTCCTAGTGTCTATCCGAGAGAAACGAAAACACATGTTCACACAAAAACTTGTACATGATGCTCAGAGCAGTATTTATTCACAATAGCCAAGAAGTGGAAATGACCCAAATGTTCATCAACTGGTAAATGGATCAACAAAAGATGGAATAGCCACACAGTGGGAGTACCACTGAGCGACAAGGAGGAAACACTGCTGAACAGTCACAAGATGGAGGAACCACAAAACTCAGTTAATGAAGAAGCCAAGTGCAAAAGACCACATTTTGTATGATTCCATTTATAGGAACTGTCTAGAAAGTGAAAACCTGGAGAGACAAAGTAAATTAGTAGCTGCTTGGGGCTAGGAGTGGAAACAGAGATTAATGGCAAATGGGCACAAAGGATCTTCTTTTTAGGGTGATGGGGGGACAGTTCTAGAATCAAATCACGGTGATAAATGCCCAAATCTGTAAATTATAAAAAATCACTGCATTATATACTTAAGGCCAGTGGGATTTAATGGCATGTAAATTATACCTCAATACATCTGTTAAAGAAAACTTAATTAAGAGAAAACAAAATGTCACAAATGACTACCTGGGGAATGTTGAGCTCCTCTAACTGGCTTTGAGTAATCTCGCTGAGCTGCCGAAATGTCATTGTAAAATCAGCTTCTGTCTTTTCCATGAGCTAATGAAAATAATTAAATTTATCAATCTCAAGTCTTCAAGAAGATGCTGATTAACAATTCAAATGTTAGTCGGAAAAAAAAAGATAAAATGACAAACTCACATGTAAGAGAAATGCAATTAAATCGTCATCACCCTTCCTTTCTCCAAGTAACCCCAGTTTGGCTTTGAACAAGTCTCTAAATCTGAAAGAGAAATGTCAGTTCAATTAAAGTCTCCCTATTTTAAGAACTGTCCTCAAACCAACCAGGATGCTTTAATATCTCTACTCAAAAGGACAAACCTTGTGTAATAAAGAACAGGATACCCCTCAAGAATCTGAGCAGCTCTACAGGGAGAAAAAAGGAAGGACAGTTAAACTTGATCAAAATTAACATTCTTGAATTATGTTTTATAAGAACAACGTGAACTTTCCACATATTAAATATAAATATGGTAATTACGTTTATCAATCTCAATTCATATATTTCATAAAAATATGAAGATTAAAGCCTTTTTTGTCTTACAATCTTATTTTTATTGAGGTAAAATTTGCACATAGTGAAATGCATGAATGTGCATTGTACAATTCAATGAGCATTCTGAGAGATTAAAGCTTCTTAACCTTAAACTCATCTTTAAACAAATTTTCTTTTTTTTTCTTTTGAAGATTTTATTTATTCATTTGAGAGAAAGAAAGCACAAGCAGGGGGAGAGGAAGAGGGTGAGGAAGAAGCAGACTCCCTGCAGAGCCAGCTGTGGGCGGTGGGGGTGGGGGGGAACGACTCGATGTGGGGATGGATCCCAGGACCCTGAGATCATGACCTGAGCAGAAGGCAGACACTTAACCATCTGAGACACCCAGGCGCCCAACAAATTAAGTTTCTATTTCTTAATATTCTTAAATGTATTTTTTTTTTAAGATTTATTTATTTATTTGACAGACAGAGATCACGAGTAGGCAGAGAGGCACACAGAGAGAGAAGGAGGGAAAGCAGGCTCCCTGCTGAGCAGAGAGCCCAATGCGGGGTTTGATCCCGGGACCCTGGGATCATGACCTGAGCCGAAGGCAGAGGCTTTAACCCACAGAGCCATCCAGGTGCCCTTTACATGTATTTTAAATCATACAAAAGCTCAACTCATTCTGAAGCTCCCCTCTTTACCTTACTGACCTCATCCCACGTAAATTTTCCCCTTGCTCATTCTGAGGCAGCCACAGGAGCCATCTGGCTGTTCCTTAAACACCCCCCACACACCTGCTCGGGGACTTTGCACAGGCTGTTCCCTTGCCCGGAGCACTCTTCCCCCAGGTATCTGTGTAGTTTGCTCCTGCGACTCCTTCAACCCTTTGCCCGAGTGAGGTCCTGACCATCCTTTTAAAACTGCAAACCCCGCTGCCTTTATTCCCTATCTCCTGCTAGTGTTTCTCCATTGTACTCATCTCCTTCTCATAAGCTATGGATATTATTTATTCTGTGTGACTCTCTCCCACCAGAAGCAAGCACTGCACAGGCCCAACTATCCTGCTGTTTGATTCACTGCTGTCCCCTTAGCACTTAGAACAGTGTCGGGCACATACTGAGGACCTCAGTAAGTATTTGTTGAGCAAATAAGTGAACTCTGCAAGGCAAAGGGAGAGAAAATTCATGGAGACAAGAGTGACTGCTTAATGAATATTGTTTTATATTGCTTCGATTTTGAACTACGATGCATTACCAATATATCTTTAGTTATATTAATTAAGAAAACCATAGGTGGTATATAAAACTTTTATCTTTATCGTAGTAATCTTTTTTTGTTGCCTGGGGTTAATGAAATTACTCTATGCTTTGCCTTCCGCTTGGGATCTTGTACTGGAAATCCAATTTTAGATTTGGGGGACAGGTGGGGGAGAGAGTGAAAAATATGCTTTATCTTCTGGCAAATACATTAGGGACAGAGAAATGATTTTTTTTTAAGATTTTATTTATTTATTTGACAGAGAGAGAGAGAGAGAGCACAAGCAGAGGGAGTGGCAGGCAGAGGGAGAAGCAGAATCCATGCTGGGCAGGGAACCAAATGCGGGGCCCTATCCCAGGACCTCAGGATCATGACCTGAACCGAAGGCAGACACTTAACTGACTGAGCCACCCAGGTGCCCTGAGACACAGAAGTGATTATACTGTGATCCGGCCCTCAAGGAGTTCAATGCCCAGTGGTTACATCAAGAAATATCTTAACATTCTATATAATTATTAACATACTTAGATTATTATTCATGCTTATTCATATACATATGCCAGATATTCCTCTTTTTTTTTTAAAGATTTTATTTATTTATTTGACAAAGAGAGAACACAAGTAGGCAGAGCAGCAGGCGGGGGGCGGGGGGGGCCGGGGAGCAGGCTCCCTGCTGAGCAGAGAGCCCAATGCTGGTCTCCATCCCAGGACCCTGAGATCATGACCTGAGCCAAAGGCAGAGGCTTAACCCACTCAGCCACCCAGGCACCCCCATATGCTAGATATTTCATTTTGAGTAACTAATTATAAACACTACAATGTTGTCTATTTATTATTTATTCTGTTGTTTAAAAAGGCAACCATGTACCCTTTTTTCTTCAGCCTGAATTCAGAAGGAGAGATCACACAATAGTCAGACTCTGAGATTAAAAGTTCAGCTTTATTATTGATAAAAGCTAGTCTGGAAAATATGGCTTAAGTCTATGGATCAATCGGCATGTTAATGTTTTGTACCTACATTAGAAAGATTTATTCACTCAACTACTAGAATAACAGTTACATCTATGGGCCTCCCCCATTTGGGCACACCCCTGTAAAATTGTCATATAAAAAAGCAGAAAATGTATGCTTTCTCTGGTTGGGCGGATCTCCAGAAAGAGAGGTATTAATAGGATGAGCCACACAGGTTTAAATTCGTCTCCCAAATTCACCAAACTGGTCATTAACCCTTCATCCCCCAGAGAGGAATTAAGTGGAGCCAGAGAAGAACTGTGTACTCTCATGAAGCCCTGCCCCTCCCCCAACAGGAACCACCCGAAGGGGGATAAGGGATTTCCTTTAAAAATCTTCAAGGCCAAACACTAAACCAGAGATGTCAAAGGAAGACGGTGGTTCAAATGAATTTTTGGTGCCTGCCCTTCCCTGCTCTAATTTAGCCCCTCTCCTGGGCCTCAGAGCTGGTAGGGCCTGGAGGAGGCAGGCAGGCCTGGAGGGGCTGAGCAAGGCTACAGGCCCTCAATCTTGAGGTACAGCATGGCTGAGCAGAGCAAAGACATCAAGGGCCCTACCTGTATAAGTGTTACTGGAAAAAATTAGTGGGCTCCCTGGCTTCCACGAGGCTGCAGGAGAGCTGCTAAAACCTCTCTACCCCGAAGGTAGAAGAATGCTGGCCTTGGCTGCTGAGGAGAGCTGGGAGCAGAGAGACAGCCTACGAGAGGCCGAGTGGAAAGCTAAAAACTTGCTTGCGGGTCCTCTGCCAGCCCGTGAAAGGGGTACCACAGCTTAAACGGAGCGGAGCCCCAGTGGAGAGGCAAAGGAAAATGACGCAGTGCCCAAATGTTCTCCTCTCATAGCCAGAGAGAGCAGAAACAGAAGACCCCCAGAACGGCTGGCTCTCAGCCCAATGGAACGGCTAGTGGAGACAGACACCACTATGAAAACAATAGTAAGACCTTTCAGGAGAATAAACTGTGCCTCAGTAGACCTTCTGGAACTCCAAGACAGTATTCCAGGCCACAGAATTCAGTGGGTAGATTGAGACGGAAGACAGTTACTCCTGAGACTCAAATTGAGTGGCCTAGGAAACTGGGGAGAAGAAATACCACAAAACCTACACAAAAATGCAAAGAAATGGAAAGCATAAGGAAAAAAAAAAATAAGAGACTTGGGGACAAATGAAGAGGGATTCATACCAAGAATGGAGTGCCAGAAGCACAAAAAGAAGTGAACGGAAGAAAGTCAACAGTTAAGCAAAAGCAGAGATTTCCCTCGCTGGGTACGTAGCTGCAGGCGGAGAAGCAGAAGCACTGTGGGTGCCACGGAACAAGGGGTTTTTCGGAAGGATTTGACCTTCCGTGACTGTGGGAGCCGGTGAAGAAGGATGTATCATCCTGTTCTTTCTGTGTCTGGTTTGGGGGCCAACGCTGGCAGCGAGGAGAGGACAGAAAATTGGATGTGAGACCGGAGACAGTGAAGACCAGCCAGAATCTGCCCAAACCGAAACCCAAGTCTGTCCCTCAGGGGTCCAAGCTCCGCGGTGCAGGCCAGCTGCGATCAGCCTGTGCTCCTCACCACGGGGCGGTGCCCGCCCTGGCCCAGGCTCTCTCCCCACACCAACACCGTGGACCAGCAGATGGACGGACGGATGGACGGACAGACGGACGGCAGTGCGCGCGAGCGGCAGTGGGGCCTGGCTGCAGGCCGGCCTTCTGGGCGCAGCCACGCCGCTGCCTCACTTCCGCCTTCCAGATCTTGCAACGGAACCCGTAACCATACAGGGAAGGAAACTTGGACCAGTGCCGCTGGGCTGATACAATGGAAGGCCCCTACACTCAGATGGCTCTATGATTAAGTCCTGGCTGATGGGAAGGAGGGAGGAGATGTGTACAAACGCTGACATGTATCCTGCGATAGAGAAGACTTGCCTCTTCTCCACGCTGCCACTCAGAAGTTGGGTGTTCCAGATGGTGCCCCATCCCGGACCCTGAGGACTTCAGCAGTGAGTGGATGGTGGGATGGAAAAGTCAAAGCCGTCTGAGACTCAGCAGAGTCCCCACCAGCCCTCAGTTACCAACCTGCACGCTTTTCAGGGGAGAGAAAAACCATGTCCCTCTTGTTCAAACTACTATTATTTTGGGCTTCTGTTACATACCAGTGAATCCATAATCTAGGGCCCTAGTCTCAGTCATCTGTCAGCGTAAAATAAAAATACTAACGGTTATGCGAGAATTCAGAAAATACATCACCTCTATACCCCACTAAGGGAAATAATAGAGTAATTGAAACAGAGACTTCAAGATGAAACCCTGAATAAAAAGCGGTGGCCAGCAGTGAAATGATTAGAAATGTGGGCTTGTGCAGGTGGGGGAAGCGCTAGGGCAAAGACTTATGATGGGAGAGATACACTTCCTACGCTTTGTAGGAAAACCTACAATAGTCTGAAATTCAAAATACTAAGCTACCTTATTAGCAAAGGCCGGCAGTTGGGTTCTTAGAGGTAAAAAGGAAAAGAACTGAGTCTCACTGAAATGGAGGAGAAAACTTACATAAGTCAATAGAATCTTAGTGAAGGAAAAGTACTTGGAAACTCATTTTCCCATAACAGTAGAGAAAGTGGCAGGAAAAGGAAGATAACTACCAGCGGCAGGTGGAGAATACAGCAGTTTCCAAATCGAGGTGGGGGAGTGATGAATGAACTTCTCAAATCATAAACAGATAAGGAAAGCCGGTGGGGTGGCGGGGAACTGATACATAAAATAGAGATAAAGCAGAGTATAAGACAGGAATAAAATAAATCAGTTGTTACAATAAATGTAAACAGCCTACACACATTAAAACCGAAACCATCACATTAAGTTAAAACCTGGCTATATGTGTAAGACAAATGACAAAGGTAGAAAAACAAAGTGAGACTCGAGGCAAATCCAACGAAAAGAAAGCAAGAATTGCAATATTAATATCAGATAAATTGAAAATTGGAGTTAAAAGGCTAAATCAAGATAAAGGGGGTCATGGTTTTAGGCTAAAAGGCACTTTTTTTTTTAAGGAAATATAAGTAAAAACCTGTGTGTACCAATAATACAATAGCAAAATATTAAAATTTAAAACCATCAGAAAAAACTACTTAGTAAAAATACAATTAAAGTGGGAGGTTTTTTTTTTGTTTTGTTTTTTTTTTTTGTCAGAGAGAGAGAGAGAGAGAGAGATCACAAGTAGGCAGAGAGGCAGGCAGAGACAGAGGGAGAAGCAGGCTCCCTGCCGAGCAAGGAGCCCGATATGGGACTCGATCCCAGGACGCTGGGATCATGACCCGAGCCGAAGGCAGCCGCTTAACCAACTGAGCCACCCAGGCGTCCCAAAGTGGGAGATTTTAATACACATTTCTAACGCATCAAATTTATTGAATAAATAAAAAAATAAAGTCATAAAGGCCTTGAATAATACACTCAATTTGATATAGTAAAACCTTTGAGTACAGATGCACAAAATTCATTATTTGGGGGTCATAAAGAAACCTTAACACATTTTAAATAGTATATTTTACCAAACACATATAAAAATATATGACTAAAGTGAGCCCAATTATTAGATATTAAGAAAAACAGTGATAAATAACCCTTAGATCAAAGAAGAAATAAGCTAAAATTTCACAACACCTAAAAAGCAATAAATAGGGAAACACTTCATCCTAATAACTGTGGGAAAAAGCCAAAACTGTACTAGACAAAAATACAATTTGAAATGGCTTCATTATTAAAGACTAAATATTAAGATGGTTCTTAAAATGTTAGCTTGAAAAAATGATCATTATACAAATGTAATTTCATACAGATTTAATTAGTGGATTTTGGATTTACTCACAGCTTCTTTTGCCTAGGATCCAGTAATGGATTTAAAGCTTGCAACAACTTGTTTAAATTAAACATCCCAATATTGGCCTGATTTCCTATTTTATATCTTCTTTCATCATCAGATGTGTTTGGGACAAAATCTGTTTAAAATAAAAAATATTAGCCTTTTTAAAAATTTTATTTATTTAGGGGCACCTGGGTGGCTCAGTTGGTTACGTGGCTGCCTTCAGCTCAGGTCATGATCCTGGAGTCCCAGGACTGAGTGGGATCAGGCTCCCAGCTCCATGGGGAGTCTGCTTCTCCCTCTGACCTTCTCCCCTCTCATACGCTCTCACTCTCTCGCTCTCTAATAAATAAAATCTTTAAAACAAAAAACAAAAAACAACAAAAAAAAAGATTTTATTTATTTATTTAGAGAGAGACCGTGAAAGAACACAAGCAGGGAGAGTGGGAGAGGGAGAAGCAGGCCTTCTGCTGAGCAGAGAGCCTGACTCGGGGCTCGATCCCAGGACCCTGGGATCATGACCTAAGCTAAAGGCAGACGCTTAACAACTGAGCCATCCAGATGCCCATTACTAGCCTTTCATAGTGGAGATAATTGTAATAAATGTCCTCTCCCTTTCTAAGTTTATATTTAAGCTTAATAAATTTATATTCATTAGATATGTTTACATTTATTAAATCTTTCTGATGTTAAACATTTAACTAAAAATTAACATAAACACTTACTACCCATACACATGAAATTCTTTTTAAATATGAATATTTGCCTAATAGAGGAATATAGTTCTACTATGTAAGAATTTTCAGGTGATCAGGGGCGCCTGGGTGGCTCAGTCTCTTACGCGTCTGCCTTCAGCTCAGGTCAAGATCCCAGGGTCCTGGGATCGAGTCCTGCATCCAGCTCCCTGGTCAGTGAGAAATCTGCTTCTCTCTTTCCTACTCCCTCTGTTCCTTCCCTTGCTCATGCTTGCTCTCTCTTGCACTCAAGTGAAATCTTAAAATATATATATATATATTTTCAGGTGATCATAAATGTCCTTCAAATCCCACCTCAAGTATCACACTGTCCACAAAGCCTGCTTGGATCTCTCCTTGCAAGGACTGTGTTACTATGGCCTCCATTTTATAGGTTGGTAACGTGAGAAGTTAAGTAACTTGTCCAGGGAAGGGCACCGAGCCACTGTGGCTCAGATGCCAGAAGTCAAACCTGCATCTGTCTCACACAGGTTCCCTACTGCCTCCCTGTCATCTTCTCTAATATGTAATTCCTTAAGGGCAGAGACCGCGAAGGGCTCATTTCTGTTTCCCTATAGCACCTGGAACATTCAGTACTACATAAAGTGACCATTTTATCAATGAACCCAATTCTTTCTACTACCTCAACACTGTATTAGCTATAACAACTTATCTAAAATAAACCTGTAATCATTTTTTGGTGAAATAAGATATATGTGTGTACACACATACATATTTACATATAAATCACACATACCTGGGTTATAGGCTTCCATAAAACCAAATGGGCCGTAGTCGATTGTAATGGATAACAAACTGAAGTTATCAGTATTACAAACACCTGAAACCACAACAAAAAGATTCCAAAATCACGGTAATAAAATAATAAAGCATTTTTAAATGTATGAAATTATCAAGAATAGGAAAATGGAAATGCATTTGTTTTGGAAGTGAAATAAAATTGGGTTATCAATTGAAAGTTTAACTCGTGATATCAAATACCTAATATATATTAAAACTACATCTTTTAACTACATTTACCCTTTTGTTTTATACCTCACCCCATAAAGATTTCAAATACTACAGAACAAAAGCCCCAAGAAATACAACTTCTTCTTACTTATCCTCAATTTCTTGCATTTGTTTAAAAAAATATACGTTACTCGGAATGGAAGTGAAACTAGTAAAGGAATAAGATGAATTTATTTCCAAAGGATGGGAAAAGGGTAAAATATGGATATGCACTCCCATTACAGTCCTCAGCTGCAGACCCTAGCAGAAGGGGGAGGGAGTGTGCCCTCCCAGGCAAGGGGGCTAGGGCTGGTGGCCAGAGTGTGGGGTAGGAGGAAGCCGGGGAATGGATACGCCAGCCTAATACAAGATATTTGGCAACTGTGTCTGCTATCGGGTTTCAGTGTTTTTCAGAGCAAGATGGCCCTGTTTATCAAAATGTTAAGTGTACAGACTCTCTAACCCAGCCATCCTATGTTAGGGATCTGTCCTCAAAAGTTGCCTTCAGGAATATGAGATACAGTTGCAAGGTAGTCACTGTACCATGGTTCCTAACAGCAAAAACTCTGAAACACCTACCCTGCTCTCCCTACCCCAACCCACTCCAAGACAGATACACAGACTATGTGTGTGATCAGCTAAGTGGATTTCAAGAAGTTTCTCACTGTGGGATTCCCTTTAGGTATTCATCTAGAGACATTAGAACATACGTGATTTGTTTTTCAGTTATTCTTAGTTTGAGCAGATATTCCTTCCTATGCAACTACACACGCTAAATGGTTTCAAACACACAAGCCAGCCCTGTTTTTTACAGAATGTGTATGAGTATCATCCTAAAAGAGTCCAAAAATATTGATATAAAATGGTTAGTAATGATTACCCTGGAGAATGGAATTTACACTCACTTCTGTATACTTTTAATTCCTTTTTTTAAAGATTTTTAAAATTTCTTTGAGAGAGTGAGCCAGAGAGAGAGAGAGAGAGAGCATGACCAGGGGAAGGGGCAAAGGGAGAAGCAGGCTCCCCACCGAGCAGGGAGCCAGACAAGGACTTGATCCCAGGACCCTGCGATCATAACCTGAGCCTAAGGCAGCCACTTAACCAACTGAGCCACCCAGGCGCCCTATACTTACCATTCTTTACCATAAGCATACAGTGCTTTTATAATTGAGATTTTAAAAACAGTTTTAAAGTGACCAAAATATATCGTGTAGCCACGTGGTTGAAAACGTTTAAGGCTGGGGCACCTGGGTGGTTCAGTTGGTTAAGCGTCCAACTCTTGCTTTTGACTCAGGTCTCGATCTTTGGGATTGTGAAATCAAGTCCAGCTTCCAGGGTCAGGCTCTGCACTCAGCATGGAGTCTGCTTGTCCCTCTCCCTCTCCCTCTGCCCCTCCCCTTCTGCCTTCTTGTGCACTCTCTCTCTAAAATAAATAAATAAGGGGCGTCTGGGTGGCTCAGTGGGTTAAAGCCTCTGCCTTCGGCTCAGGTCATGATCCCAGGGTCCTGGGATTGAGCCCCGCATCGGGCTCTCTGCTCGGCAGGGAGCCTGCTTCCTCCTCTCTCTCTGCCTGCCTCTCTGCCTACTTGTGATCTCTGTCAGATAGATAGGTAAAATCTTTAAAAAAAAAAAAAAATTATTTATTTATTTATTTAAATATTTATTTTAAATAAATAATTTTATTATTAATTTTTTGAATTATTATTTTTATTAATAAAATATTTGTATTAAATATTTAAATAATTTATTTAAAATATTTAAATAAATAAAATCTTTTTTTAAAAAAAGAAAGTTTTACAGGTAATAACATCCTCGTTGAATTGAGGATGCTTATTCTATCTTGTGCATACCGTTCCATTCAAAACCATTTTAAACACAAGAAAATTGCTTCTCTGTTGCTAAAAACAAATTCATACGTCATAAATGTTAAGCTCATCAGCAGGAATGTTTTGAAGTACACAAAAATGGAGTGTTCTGCTTCAACAAATTAACTCTACTTTCTCATCAGGAAAATGAAGCATCGGTAGATGACTTACCATGAGCAAAACCAACAGACATCCACAAGGCAATGAGTTGTGCCGTCTTTGATACCACCATAGAGAAAAACTCCTAAAATAAAATTTAGAAATTTTTCAGATTTTCAGGAATGTATACTCTTTTAGGATCTTCTGCTAAGTCGTGGGGAGAACATGGAAAGAATTCAGGATATCAAAAGATGAAAAAGGAATGGAAACTAACAAATGTAAGAAAAAAAATGGAAGAATATGGAATTAGTCACTGAGAAATAATAAATAAAGGCCCAGACATAGTATTATTACCAGGCCTTCTCCATGTCCAATAAGAACAGGAAAAGCCTTAGAATTCAGCACAAGGGAGTTAAATGTAAGCAAAGTAAGTTCTTAAACTTTGAAATGAATCACAAAGAAAAATAATGGAATTCCCTTCGCTGTGGCTGCTAAGAGAATGAAAGAGGGTTATGAAGACCAAATCATTTCCACAAGAATAGAAAATCACATTTTCCTGTTATGTATTGTGTTTATTTTAGAACTACTACTACTACAGAAATATCTGTATTTCTCACGTGTGAGAAAAGACTACATAAGATCAAGTTACAAAACATGTGTGCAAAACATCACGTCCAGAGTCAGGAGGTAGTAGCACCTGTTCTTTTTCTCTGGATACCTTTCAAACAAAACAACTTTCTTATCTGTGTCTTGTTTATGAAGTGGTTCACCTTCCCCTCACCTAACAAAATGTTCAAAGTGCACTCCATTTCCTTTCCTACCTACCCAGTCAAGTTCTAAGTTGTAACCGTTGATGTTGGCGGGCCAGAAGAGAAAACTGAGTATTGACCTTTCTCTTTCTCTGAACAAACTTACCACATATCTGTTAGGTTCTGTGGCCTTTACTGAGGGGAAATGCTCCTGTATGATGAAGTCTAGTAACGTCCTGGAGAAAAGAAGGAGAAAGCATCAGCGTCCCCCCATATCAAATTATCTAAATCCACCCTTGACATCCAGGAAGCCACTAGATTCAAACTTCAAATTTTAAGAATTAAAATAAGATTTTACTCTAAAAAACAGCCATAGAGAAATACTTCCTCAATACCAGTCAAAACGGGAAATGAGTTTCTAAGACAGTATTAGATTCCACCATGTGTATTACAAATGCACACCTACTGTAAGCCCCACCATGTGCACGTACCGGGGGAAAGGATGCCAAGACCCAGATCCAGAGGACCCAAATCTCAAAGCACACAGAGCCCATTAGGGAGAAGAACACACGAAGAAATAGACATTACAGTGTAACACATCCAATAACAGAATATAAAAGTTACACAGATAACAGAGCAGGGAATAATTATTTATTATTCATAAGGCTTCATAAGGCTTCACAAATGGGGGGTGGCAAAAGACTGTCCAGTGTTCAAAGTTATTTGTCTGTGTATCATATTTTTTATTCCCTATTTTAACTGACTCGTCAACTAACTATAGTGTTGAATGTATTGGATAAGAAAGAAGCCATAAAAAAGACTGGGGGTTGTAGATGCGACTAGGGAATTATTAAAAGCCAGTCAAAACAAAAGGAATGGATTAGAGTTCGTGTATATATGTATTTTTCTAATCATTTAATAATTTAATCATGTGAATAAGTGCTTGTATGTCAAGAACTGTTGCAAGCATTTGGGAAACGAAAAGGAATATATATGTGGTTACGTGAGCCGATAGATTTTTAGGAGGCGGCGGTCACTAATATACATCAAATGTCAGAGAAATAAGTGAACTATTATAGAAGTACTACCACCAGATGGGACAATTTCAGTGACATCGTGAATCCAATCAGAAGGGACCCAAAAAACAAATGGGAAGTTAGAAATAATGCCCAGTGAGCGCAGACAACTCTTCTCAACAAGGAGGATGACCAGGAGCTCAGAGAACATTTGCTAAGTAAGAGACTCAGAGACGGCTCTGGCCAGTGTGATGACTTCTCCACTCTGCTTCCTCATTTTCCTCGGGGCTTCTCTCCCCGCATCCTTCGCGGCCCAGGCGTCGGGACTTCCCGCGCTGACACCTACAACACAGGATCCACACCCCAAGGGCTCTAGTTTGTCTAAGAGAATCTATGTGACTTTTTAGAACTTTTTCCAACTGTGTTATCTTAACAAAAGGAAGCAGAATTCCTCTGAAAGAAGGAAATGTTTCTGCCTGAAGACACCTCTTGTTAAATCGGCCTGAGGAAGACGGAATTGTGTAAGTAGAGACGCTGCAGGCACTAAGACATCACAAAATGCTGGAAGCTGTACTGTGTGATGCAAGAGCAAGAATCCGTTGCTTTTGCTCTTTTGAAGCCATCCTCTGTGCTCCTTGCAGAAAAACTTCAGTGAGACACATTCTGTTCTTAAATGCTCTATGTACATTTGCCTGTTTGTTTGCCTGCTTTTGTCCTTCTGAAGGGGCTGCGTTTCAGCTGTGGGTCAACCCAGAGCAAAGCAGGCATCTCACAGGTGTCAAAACCGCAGTCTGGGGAAGAGACACGAGAGTGAAGACACACTCTGGGAACCCAGAAGTTGAAAGGAGATCTTTGATCTCTGTAGACTGTGGATTTGGAGGGGGGTTGAATCACTTCCACCCAGGGCTCCAAATGGCACGAGGCCCTCAGCTACAACTGGGCTGCATATCAGATTAAAAATTCCTTGAGCAAAAGGTCTACTGGGTCTCACACTTCTTTCAGCCTCCTAGAAAACCCACATGTAGTGAGTGTTAAAAATATTTATTAATTGAAATATTTGATTTTAACTTCTAAGAAAACCAAAAATATTTTAACTTCATAGTACATATACAAGCATTTTTTAATTATCTCCTATCATTAAAAAAAAATCATTTTCTAACCTTAGTAAATCCAGTTCACCATAATGAGCCAAAATTTCTAATGATCCAATTCTAAACCATGATTTTGCAACACGCAGCACTATTGCACCTGAAAAACACACATTTTAGCATATTTTTAGCATTTTAAACTGCAAATACAGCATAATATACTTTTCTAAAAATTTAAATTATTTTAGTAAAAAAATAATACAGGCACCCAATTTATCAGAAAAGCAACTAATGATACCCTAGAAAGGATCAAGGATTTTTCTCTATTTCTTTAAGCCTTGAATCGGTTCAAATGTCAGGAACCACAACACTTTCATAAATATGAAGGCTCTAACCTCCCTAAAGGCTGCTCAGTTAAACTGTTAGGCTCCAAACACGGGATTCCCACTGTCTCCTCTGTTGTGACATCTTCCCCATATGTCATCCTGAAATAGGGCATTAGTAAATGATTTACATGGCATAGTCCCCGCACGTGCCTTCTCTTGGTGTAACTAATTGAAAACTCACTTCAATAAATAAACGTTTGCATACGTTCTAACTTATGAAACACGGAAGAAAGACAGTGAATCTATGTATTTTTGTGTTAGTGTTTGCGGCCTTCTTTTGCTGCTTTGTGTTTTGACTATAGGCATTAGTAATACAATTAGTAAAGAGAATGCATGTTTTTTTCCCCAAAAAGAATGCTGTCCTTGCATGTGTTTGGATGTGAAGATGAGGTCTATTCCAGAAAACAAAGCCTCCTGCTCTGTTGGTGCCACCTTTCCACACAATCCCACCCCCACTGCTACCTCTGGGCCTTTGTGCTATTCTCTGCTCTCTGTGTGTGCACACTCTTCTCCCCCAACTGAAATCCTTCCTAATCTCAAAGGTAAATAACCCTTAACTCCTTCAAGCATGAATATTTTAGGGGGATTGCTTTTTATGAAAATCTTGTCAAAACATATTAGACGCTAAAGCATAAAGAATATAATACGTGCCCTTAGTGAATCACCGTGATCATCAGCAAAAACGGTTGCCTGGTCATGCAATGACGTCCATGGGACCCAACAGAGCAGGCAGGGCTCTCAGCAGCCCTCAGTGGCTCTGCTTTCTAAACTGTTGAATAAGTTTAATATTGGGTGGCTGGCTGGCTTAATCGGTAGGGCATGCAACTCTTTTTTTTTTTTTAAGATTTTATTTATTTATTTGACAGAGAGAGATCACAGGTAAGCAGAGAGGCAGGCAGAGAGAGAGGAGGAAGCAGGCTCCCCACTGAGCAGAGAACCCGATGTGGGGCTCGATCCCAGGACCCTGAGATCATGACCTGAGCCAAAGGAAGAGGCTTTAACCCACTGAGCCACCCAGGCACCTCAGGCGTGCAACTCTTGATCTCAGGGTACGAGTGCAAGTCCCATGCTGGTGTAGAGCTTACAATCAATCCATCAATCAAATACACTTATTATTGATTTTTTAGGTCTCTTCCATTCAAGGTCAAGTTTCTCTCGCTGTTTCTCTTTGCTGCCCTACAGCACAAATCTCACCCCTTCCTAATTTTTTAATTTCTGGCTTACTAAAGGCTGAGGAAAAAGTTAACTGAATCAATCAGAAGCAAGCATGAAGAGCGAGGATTCAGGCTCTGAGGAAAGGTCTGAGGGTCTCTCCTTAGAAGAAAGTGTATGAACTTTTGGGTTCCAGCTTTGTAACATTTTGCTGGCTACCCATAAACATTTTTTTCACTTCCCAGATGTCTATGTTTGAAACCAAAGGGCTAGTGATGTAAGGATGTAGGAAAGGATATCCTATGGTAATATCCTAGTGATACAATTATATCTTAAAGAACCATGGTCACTTTTTTTTTTAATTTGTTTTAAAGATTTTATTTATTTATTTGACAGACAGAGATCACAAGTAGGCAGAGAGGCAGACAAAGAGAGAAGGGGAAGCAGGCTCCCCGCTGAGCAGAGGTCTGAGCAGGACCCACGATCATGACCTGAGCCAAAGGCAGAGGCTCAACCCACTGAGCCACCCAGGCGCCCCCAAAGTTCATATTTTAAAAAGACTGCAAAGATGTCCAGGATCTGTTCTTCTTTAAGAACTTAGCCTAATTTTATGTATATTCTAAAAATTATTATTACCTCTTTCTTTCACAACGTTTCCATTGTAGAATTGATCTCTCCATACTTCATCATCACTCACAACCAGACTGAAACATAAGAGAATCCAACAATTAAAGTTACATGTTCACTCCTAGCAAGCTACCAAGAAGTACCTGAAACCATAAGAAACAATGAGAAATCATGCTACCATAGATCTATCGGCTCAATTTACTGACACATGTCTGCAGATAACATGACGCATTCCTGAAAGTCAGCTTCAAGGAAAAAGGAATTACCTTGCAGCCCTGCTAGTTGGAATTCCAAGAGAGTGCATAGCCTCGCTGCATAAAAATTCTCTCACTGAGGAACGAAGTACAGCTCTGCCATCACCACTTCTAGGTCAAATAAGAGAAAAAAAGGTTTTCAGTTGTAATGAAGACAACATCAATTTTTATTTAGATGACTGAAAAAAAATACCAACTGTACCGGGAGTATGGAGTCTTTCCTGAGCCCTTTAATTGGAGCTCCCACTTTTCACCCTGCCTTCAACAACAACAAAGAAATCTAAGTATTAGAAGATTCATGTTACTATTTAGCAGAAAAGCTATTATACCAGAAAACACGTGGTACCTGTTCATGTAAATTCCAATTAGGTGAGCTCTTCCGTCCCCAAGCTGACCTGCCCACATCCCAAACTAAAGGAGAAAAAGGAAAATTATTCATGCTTATTACCCTTTAAAGTTTTCATAGTAATTTTATAGCCAAAGTTATTTTGTCAAAATTGAGAATGGGGTATTGCATTTTTAGGATTATAAGAATCAACAACTTGAACAAAGGTGAAAAAAAATTCAATCAATAACACATAAGTGAAATTCATTTTAAAAATATAAATTTGAGACATATGATTAACTTCTTCATCTTACAGCTGAGCTCAAGTTGGTAAGGTGTAGAATATTTAGAACTAATCTACTGACCTATTTAATTTCAGAATATGAACTAGGAACAATTCATTCATAGAAAGTTTGCCTATAGAATATGTATGTGATATAAAATCAAGAACATACTTGTAACTGAAAATATGCTTTTGAACTTACATAGTTAGCTGTTTTCAACATTTTCTGTTGTGGTTGCCCAACTCCCAGTTATGCCACTTACTAGCTACAGAAATCAGGGTTACATAATCCCACTGAGACTGACCTTTCATTTCTGTAAAATGGGATAACCCTTGCCAGGTTGTTTTAAGAATGAATGCCAACGGATGCTCTGTACTATGTCCAACATAATGCAAGTGCTCGTGAGATGGTAATAATTATCATTACCAACAGTGATTTGCTAATTTAGACATCGTTCCATTTTCCACATGCATGTTACTTCCACCAGAAAGTGTCTCTGACTTTCTGGGACCAGGAGGGCTCTGTGAATTCCCCTAAGTCCTATACTTAACCCTATCAAGACCCTGATGTTATCGGAATTGATTTCTTTATCCTCTCCCCTAGAGTATTAGTTAGCATTCAGAGCTAAGGGGACAGGTCTCATGCACCTTTATAGCTCTTGGCACAAAAAAGTTCTATAAACTATGAACTATGTTAGAACTATGTTTATAGTTCTAACAGAAAGACATAAATTTGAGAAAAATCTACTCATTATTTTAATTTTTCATCTTTACCAGGAAGAGATCACCATTAATTTTTGCTATCTCTAGCTACCTCTAAAAGCGCAAATCTTGAGAGGTACTCTCAGCATACTCTGGCAATTTCTAAAGTCAACAATGCATTAGGTATATCCCACACCGTGAAAAGTAAATAGAAAGAATGGTGAATCCAGAGCCAGGAGTGTCAGGGGAAACAAGAAGGTAGTTCTCTGTTAATAAAAATCAATTACTGTTCAAAATGACAAACCTGGGGCGCCTGGGTGGCTCAGTGGGTTAAAGCCTCTTCCTTTAGCTCAGGTCATCATCCCCGGGTCTGGGATCAAGCCCCACATCAGGCTCTCTGCTCAGGAGGGAGCCTGCTTCCCCCTCTCTCTCTGCCTGCCTCTTTGCCTACTTTCGATCTCTGTCTGTCAAATAAATAAATAAAGTCTTTTTTAAAAAATTACAAACCCATCCTTATAAATAAATCTTTATAATTTCAAATCAGAGAGAAGCAAGAGATGAAATGTGAAATTGATTTTTAAAAATCTAATATACTATACTACCAAAAAAAAAAAAAAAGCCAAAAAAAAAAAAAAAAAACCCTACCAAAAAATACAGCTTAACAAAACTCTGCAGGGCTTGAGGTCTGCATTTGTACTCTAACAGTACATGTGAGTACAAAACGCTATCTAATGAATTTAACCGATATGGGGAATGGCTTTTTGAACTGTGGAATCCTTACTCCAAACCCATTACATTTTGCTGCTTTTCCTAATATATATTCCAAAGGAAACAAGCCCCCTGACAATCAGACTGTTAATCTTATCTGGTTCACAGGAAAAGTCACAGCAAGTTCAACCATTGGTCCTGTGTTCCTTCTCTCTCTTTTTTAATTTAGTCAGATGCCACAACCTGAACTTGCTTCAATATCTTAACTTCACTTCTAGAGGGTGCTTTCTTAATTTTTTCAGCATATATAACACCCCCAGTTAATCCTGATTAAATTCTAGTCGTTTCTAGCAGTTCTAAAACTTTGTTCTGCAGCTACACTGGAAAAACTATAATCTCTTTGTCATTTTAGGGCTTTTATATTGACTTGTTGTGCTACTTGACTTTGCCTACATTTCTTATCTGAAACTTCCCTGAATGAGCTCTCTAGCAATAATTCTCAGAAATTTTACATAAGCGCTACCCCAGTTTTCTCCATTCCATCAAAGGAAGTTGGGCATTAGCTTTCTTACGGCAAGAAATCACATCAGCTAGTTATAAATATCTTATGATGACACATTCTTCTAGAAACATCTTGTCGTAGTCTCCATACACTAACATTAGAGGAATTAATGCAAAATAACTTCATAAATAGGAAAGCATCTCCACCAGCTGTTTATATATTACATGAGGGAAGTCATCCTGATACTACTCATACCTGATGCCCACCATATCTGTGAGCCAGTGGAATGGATCCAAATACTATCCTTTCACCACTCACAAGCCGGATAAAATCATCTGTTTCTGAGACACGGAAGTCAAGGTCCAAAATATCTTCTAGAACCTCCTGAGGCAGGAAAAAAACAAAACAAAACAAAAACACCTTACAAACTTAAGTAATCCTTTAATAATTTTGAGAAAAGAGACTTGATGGAAGAAAGAAAATTTAGAGAATGAAACTCTTCTAAAAGTACATTAATATTTCCTCATGAGGGATATACCATATTTTATATGATTATTTGTGCTATTTCGGAAAATCAGTTCTATTAGTTTTAAAATTTTTATGTAATTCTTGTGGTCCATAGTAAAAATACTATTTTCTTAGCACGCATTCTTTAAAGGAATTAGAAAAAAGTAAATGTTCTATTTCTATGCCAAATCCAATTGTATCATGAGAAACAATTTATCATTTGTTATTAGAACCCGTTTCTAAAAATTAAACTCATTTGCCCCTTTTGTTCAAAAAAATGTATCTTTGTAAGTCAACTTTAAGATGAAATGGAGTACTAGGGTCTAACAATCAGTATCAAAAAGTGATTTCTAAGAATGACATTGTCCAAATGTCTGAATTTTAAACACAAATATAATCATTTACCAATAGACTAACAATTCAACTCAAACAGTGTGACTATCTCTTTTAGACAACAGCTATAATGAATTATTTTTCTTGTGAAAAAATAAAGCCTAACCTTTGAAACTGCTACAAGACGTACTCTTGATTTGAAAGGAGTAGGGAAGGCAACTGAAAAAATACAGTTTTTCACTTTACGAACGTAATTTTCTTTAACAGGATCAACTGGGAACACAGCTGATTAAAAAAACAAAACAAAACAACTCTTCTTAAGAAGTGTTCTCATTTGTTCCAGAGACAACATTAATATTCCTTAGGACTATAGTTCTTCGAGAAAATCAATTTATACCACTCTTCTTCCCACTTTATTATTTAAAGTCTGTTTTGTCATTTTCAACCGTATCTATCCAGTATTCATATAACACAGTAAATGGAACCATCCAAGAAGATGGGAGATGGAAAAAGTTTAAAACAAGACACATACCCTGTCTTTGAGGATTTTCACTTGTGGGAGGCCAACAGGATACACAATGTTTATAAATAAGAATGTATAAGCAAAATGGAGGTGAGCTGCATTATACTTTTAGAATTATAGTACTAGCCAATTCAATGTAATCCAACCCAAAAATATTAGGCAATTAATCACATTCTTTCTGTCCTTCAGAAAATCGTAATTACTGAAAGAAACATATAGTTACAAAAAACTCCAACACCAGACAACAGATGTTTTACTAAATGTAGAAAACATGCGCTAAAACACATGTACCTTATTTAAAAGCTGTACAAAAAGAGTTTTGAACATGCTTTAGATACTCAGAACGTATTTTCTTTTAAATACAATTTAAAAAATCTTAATCTGTTCTTCTAATCCAAACCAATTAAAACAGAAAAAAACCAAACAGAAGAGGGCAGATGTATTACTAAAATCACAAAACAAGGGGACACAAAAACTTGTTTCTGGATAGAGATTATATTGTCAAGATGCCAGTGTAACCAAATTATTTAATAAACATATGGCAACCCAACCAACATCCTAGTAGGATTTTTTTTGAAGAAACAGATCATCTTAGGGACACCTGGGTGGCTCAGTTGGTTAAGCATCTGGCTTAGGCTCAGGTCATGGCTCCCTGTTCAGTGGGGAGCCTGCTTCTCCCTCTCCCTCTGCTGCTTCTCCTGCTTATGTGTTCTCTCTCTCTAAATTCTCTAAATAAAATCTCTCTCTAAATTCTCTAAATAAAATCTTTAAAAAAAAAAAGAAAAAAGCTTATCGGGGCGCCTGGGTGGCTCAGTGGGTTAAAGTCTCTGCCTTCAGCTCAGGTCATGATCCCAGGGTCCTGGAATGGAGCCCCGCATCAGGCTCTCTGCTCAGCAGGGAGCCTGCTTCCCCCTCTCTCTGCCTGCTTCCCCCCTCTCTCTGCCTGCCTCTCTGTCTACGTGTGATCTCTGTCAAATATATCAATAAAATCTTTAAAAAAAAAAAAAAGCTGATCATCTTAAAGTGTAAATCTTGAAAAATAAAAACCAATTTTTTTAGAAATGGGAGTTTTCTTATCCTAAATTATAAAAACACAGTAACTAAAAAGTTATCCCCAAAACAGATGCAAAGGAACTCAATAAAAAGAACAGAAACAGCCCAAAGTAATGTTAAGAATTCTCTATATAATAAAAATGGTATTTTGCATCAGTACAGAAAGGCGGCATCAAGACAATTTATCCAACTGTTCAGATTAACTTCTATTTATTCCACCCAAGCCTAGGTGAACCAAATGTCAGCTACAACAGAAATAAGATTACTCTTCTATCTTTCCCAGATGAGTATACAAACAGGCAAATGTGGACCGGATTTAACCTTTACATTTTTCCCTAAATATATGGTTTGTGAAGCACATAATGGGGAACCAATGGGTAGTCAGTCAAAAAACAGCTGATTTCAGCATTCATCACAGAAAACCTGACAACACGATGAAAAGCAGAAGATCCAACAGTGTATTTTCTTCTCTTTTAGGAGAGCCACTAGGTGGAAATAGACTAAATTATAATTTATGCATTTATTATGATGCCCTAACATTTTTTTTAAGATTTTTTATTTATTTGATAGAGGTCACAAGTAGGCAGAGAGGCAGGCAGAGAGAAAGGAAGGGAAGCAGGCTCCCCGCTGAGCAGAGAACCCGATGCGGGGCTCAATCCCAGGACCCTGGGATTATGACCTGAGCCAAAGGCAGAGGCCTTAACCCATTGAGCCAGGTGCCCCATGATGCCCTAACATTTTAGTAGAGCACAGACAGTATACACTGTTCATTAATACCCACGATTTTGCACTGACTGATTCACATTCTGGCAAAGTCAATACACTTAGTCATTGGCTGTGGAACGAAAAGAGGCTAACTGCCTCAGAAGTCCCCATCCCTCACCTTTGTCACACTTCCAGCAAATAATCAGTTATAGACTATAAACCCAATCCAAGACAAAACTCCAAATGTACAGTAAGTCTTTATCTTAACAACTCAGAAAAATCAGTCATTCCAAAATTAAATTCTTTAGCATTCAGTTTTGTCTTATGAAATCCACAAAAATTGCTAATCTTTCAGTGCAGCAATGTCTGAACCTCTTCTCTCAATAAATGTTCTTACCACAGTTACCTTGATAATCATTGATCATTTATCTCATAACAGCAGGATAAGACATTTTCAGGCAATGCTATGAATCAAGACATGATATACATGTATACACAGTTTTATGTCTGTAATCTCTCCTTGGCTATAAAACCTGGTCCTACCATAGATCATGTTTTGGACGGTATCATCACTATGGAAAGAAGATGTCTTCTTAAAGTCCACTCTTAACATCAAAATAACAACTTTGAAAAATGCTTTCAATTACACACCTACTCCATGTTTGTCAGTCAATACCGGTTGTTTCGTTCATACAAGTACAGTAAAAAAGACCCAGGTTGTTCCTAGCCTGTATGTAAGAGGAGTCTGTTCTTTCGAGGTTCCTTGAACAGCTCAATGGTTTTAACTTCCTAGACACAGGCTTGGCCTCGCTGGGTCCAAAGAACTACTTTGGACTCTGCAGGTCCTATTGGTAGGTTATGGCTCATCAAAAGCTTAGCTACACTGTGGTTAGAAACCTTCACAAACGTCATCCGCTCTCCCTACTTAGCCTTGCCATGCTCCATCTCTTTAAGAGCTAGGTATTTTGTTTTAATAGGGAAAACGAGCTCTAAATGAAAATGGCCTGGCAGGTAGTGCTTTATCTGCCAACTGTGAGCTTGAGAAGACATGTAAATCCTCCTGTGTCCCTATCTGTAAAAAGGGCAAATGATAATAATCTAAGTTGTAGGATTGTTGTAAATACAAGTCTTAGTTGCTACACTTTACCATGGCATAGTCTACCTGCGGAGTTATTTCTTAATAACACAAGCCTGTATCAGGTCATAGATGTGTACTAACAAACTTTATTTGTAAAACACCTGGCTTTTTTTTTTACATAATATTCTTCAAGATTGGGAAAAAAACCCTAAGATTGGCTTATTTTAATAAACTTTATTCTATGCTTTTATTCAGTAAAAAACAACACTCTGAAGAGAAATGTAAAAATAATATCCTCAGCTGTACTACGGGTATTTTCATTTTTTAAATGCAAAAAGCAGGGTTCAAAAGAAGACAAAAATTTCAGAGAATTGTAGTTGCCTATTTGCCTGTCTATTTCCCCATAACGTTTAACTTTCTCTGCACTTTTTTCTGCACTTTCTCTCCCCGCCTCTGTGCGCACGTTGAATCACTAATTACTCCACGGATTTCTGTTTTAAGTCCGCTTTCTCATTACCATGAGAGGAGTAGATCCGGCTATAGGACCAAGGAGAGGTCTTCTAACCCACATCAGGTACCAATCCAATATGCCAGGATCCCCTAGGCTGGCAAGTACGTTCCACATTACTAAATACTAAACAATTTCACACAGCTAGGTACACCCACGAGTGGGACTCCTACCCAGATAGGAGCAAGACTGCCAATCTATGCCACGATATACCTATAAGGTTTTCAGAGGACAGAGTCCAAAAGTCGAGAGACAAGGCTAATTTAGCTTCCGTCTCACAATAGTCCAGCCGGCGGTTCGACACGTTACTGGAAAGATGCAAAAGGCAGGCACTTCCTTCGAGGCCAGGTAGCAAAGAGCAGCGGACGACGGCGTGCCAGGTCACGCCCAAGAGAAACAGCGGCGGACCCGGGAGCCCCCAGACCGGGAGCCCGATTCTCTGAGTCATCTCGCTGCGTAAACACGCGGAACAGAAAAGCTGGCGACTGCGGGGCTGGGCGCCGTGGCAGTTCTCGTTACCCGCCGGTCTCCCAAAGCTCCATGTTTACGGTGACCGCTGGAGCTCCTGGCTCCCCGCAGCAGCAGGCCAGGGTCCGGGAGACACGGCTCGCCCAGACAGAAGGTCCCGCGGGGCCACTCCCGGTTCCGGAGCCGGCAGGGGCGGGGAGGGTGGCGCTCGCAGAGCTGGGCTCAGGCGAGGGCGGGGCGCCCGAGGTCCCCCGCGGCCGTCACGGGAGCGCGCCGCCGGCGCCGGCCCGGGGAGGGGCGAGCAGGCGCGGCCGGGGAAGGGCCGAAGCTCTTCCTGTGCCAAGTTTCCGGCTCCGGGTCCCGGGAGGCGGGCCGCCCGGCCACAGGCGGAGCCAGAGCTTCGCCGCGGCTTTCAGACTCCGACCATGGCCTCATGCTGGTGGTCCTGGCGCCGCTGCTGCTCCTGGAGGCCGGCGGCCGGGAGCCCCGGCCCCGGCTCCCCGGGCCGCGCCGGGCCGCCCGGGCCACCCTCGGCTGCAGACGCCAGCGCTCAGGTGAGGCCCCGAGGCGCGGGCGACGGCAGGGCGCAGAGGTCACGGCGCCAATGACAGCGGCGCAGCCGAATGAATGGGAGCTAGCGGCACGTGCGTCGGGGCTGGGGGCCGCGGGGCTGCGCTGCTGGGGGACCCCGGGCTGGCTGGGCGCCGGGACCCGAGCCCCGCGGGGGGACGTCGAGCGGTGGTCGCCGGGGGTCCGCCAGGAGCTGGGGCGCCCCGCGCGAGACTGCAGAGTGCGGTCCTGGGGGACCCGGGCGCCTCAGGGCTTGGGGAGGGATCGGTAGGGAGCCAGGCCTCGGGGGAAGTGCCGGGGGTGGGGGGCAGGCAGGTTGTCTCCTGGGGTCGGGAGCCGGGGAAGCCTGGAGACCCCCCCTGTTGCCTTTCGGATTTCAGCCAGGGCTTCAGGAGGAGGGTGCTGGGATTTTAGAGCCAAAGGTGCTCGGAGGGCTCAGAGATCCAGGGGGTTTGGAATAGGCGGTTTGTGGAGAGTGTTGGGCTGATGCTCTGGGCAGCGGGTTTCTGTCGCACCGTAGTTGCTTCCCCGGGAGACCCTACCTGGACGGGGCAGAAGGGCATTGGAAGGAGAAACGGCCTGAGGATGTCACAAGTAGAGAAACCTTGAGCTTTGATTTAATGTGACTTCTTGAGTAGAGTCAGAAATCCCAGCACTAACCATGGCTTCTTGACTCTCTCCTCTGCTGCTCTTGGGCCCGAGCTCATTTTTCTCTGTTTCCGCCCAGTTTACGCTGTGTTGAGTGACGTGTTCTGTGGCCCCATGAGTCAGTCTTTCCTGCACTTTGTAGTGATTGACTCTCAATGTGCCATAGGGTAGGCGCATTCCGTTTAGAGTAATTGAGCAAGATCTGTAGAGACTGGAAACTTCTCCAGTCACGCGGTGATTACGATGTGTTCCCTTTGCATCCACAAAGCTCGTTTTTTAAAAAGTTTATTGAATTTGGGGCTTTGGGACGTTTCATATTCCCACGTATTGCCTAACACCGAATACATATCACAGCTTATCCAGAACGGGCACTTGGAGAGAGAATAGGGCTTTGCTGAGATCCATTTCAGTACTGTCCTAACCAGACTTTAAGTGTTTCTAGCATCACAGACGAAGGCATTATTTGGAGAGATGTTTGCACCCTCCATCTAATAGCACTGGATACTTCTTTGACACTCCTTTTTAAAAAAAAATTTTTTTAATTTAAATTCCAGTATAGGAACACCTGGGTCCCTCAGTCAATTAAGCATCTGCCTTCTGCTCAGGTGGTCCTGGGGTCCAGCCCCTCATCAGGCTTCCTGCTCAGCAGGGATAGTAGATATTAGTTAGCTTTCTGGAGTCTGCCTCAGGCACGTGTCCTTGGTTAGTTCAAGTCTCTTAGGACCTCATAGTCCTTGGGGACAAAGAGCAACAATAATAAAAGCCATATCTGCCCTCAGACACAGCTCTGCTTCCTGATATATATGTACATTCTCCCAACCTCACCGTTGGGAGCGTTAACAAGTCCTGTAATAGGACAAAAACCAGTGTGTGTCTGTTACTGCCAGATCACTTGTCAGTATGTTTTTGATTCTTATGCAGCAGCATTTTTTTTTTCCCGAGTAAATTCATGGGAGGCAAGGTTGGCTTTCAGGAGAGAGTACATGATGGGAAGGAAGGGAACAGTATTGGAACAGTAACAGTACAGCAGTACACCAATTGTCCACTGCTCCTCTGAGTGCCTCTAGCCTTATTTTAGAAAACACCACTCCCTCTTAAAGCAGAAAATAAGGGTAGATATTAAATACTGTAGCTACTGCAGTTCTGTAGCCACTGTATTAAATGTAAACAGCATGCTGGGTTCTGAGCTGAGAGCTTTACACATCTCAATTAATTGTAGCTTCCCTCCCAGAGTAGGCATTAACCAGAAAGATGTCACAAGGTAACATGGCCAGGAAATGTTGGAATGGAAACAAGATCCATCTTCCAAAGACCATGCTTTGAACAACTGTTACACTACCTAGTGGTTAAGAACACTCTGTATTAACTGCTTAATTTTGTTTTAATTTAAATTCTGTTTAGTTCACATATACTGTATTATTAGTTTCAGGGGTAGAATTTAGTGATTCATCAGTTGCATAGAACACCCAGTGCTCATCACATCAAGTGCCTTCTTAATGCCCATCACCCAGTTACCCCGTCCCTCCAGCAATCCTCAGTTTGGTTTCCTGTAGTTGAGAGTCTCTTAGGTTTGCCTCTCTGTTTTTATCTTCTTTTATTTTTCTTTCCCTTTCCTTATGTTCATCTGTTTTGGTTCTTAAATTCCACATATGAGTGAAATCATACAGTATTTGTCTTTCTCGGACTGACTTATTTCACTTAATACATTCTAATTCATCCACATTGACGCAAATGGCAAGATTTCATTTTTGATGGCTGAGTAATATTCGTGTGTGTGTGTATTCTATTTAAGTGTCCACCTATCAGTGACATCTGGGTGCATCTTATTTATTTGTTTGTTTGTTTGTTTGTTTATTTTATTAACATATAATGTATTATTTGCTTCAGGGGTACAGGTCTGTGAATCATCAGCCTTACACAATTCACAGCACTCACCATATTACATACCCTCCCCAATGTCCATAACCCCACTGCCCTATCCCACCCCCCATGACTCCCAGCAGCCCTCAGTTTATTTGCTGAGATTAAGAGTCTCTTATGATTTGTCTCCCTCCCTGGTCCCATCTCATTTTATTTTTTCCCTCCCTTTCCTCCACAAACCTCCCACCCCCCTCTCAAATTCTTCATATCAGAAAAGTCATATGATAATTGTCTTTCTCTGACTGACTTATTTCCCTTAGGATAATACCCTCTAGTTCCATCCACGTCATTGCAGATGGCAAGATTCAGATTTTTTTTTTAATGGCTGCATAGTAGTCCATTGTACATATATACCACATCTTCTTTATCCATTCATCTGTTGAGGGACATCTGGGCTCTTTCCATTGTTTGGCTATTGTGGACATTGCTGCTATAAACATTCGGGTGCACCGGCCCCTTCGGATCCCTACATTTGTATCTTTAGGGTAAATTCCCAGTAGTGTGATTGCTGGGTCATAGGGCAGCTCTATTTTCAATTTTTTCAGGAACTTCCATACTGTTTTCCAGAGTGGCTGCACCAGCTTGCATTCCCACCAACAGGGAGGAGGGTTCCCCTTTCTCTGCATCCTCACCAACACCTGTCGTTTCATGACTTGTTAATTTTAGCCATTCTGACTGGTGTGAGGTGGTATCTCACTGTGGTTTTGATTTGTATTTCCCTGGACATCTGGGGACATCTTTACCCATTCATCTGTCAGTGGACATCTGGGCTCTTTCCATATTTGGCAACTGTGGACATTGCTGCTATAAACATTGGAGTGCATGTGCCCCTTCAAATCACTATATATTTTTTTTAAATATTTTATTTATTTATTTGTCAGAGAGAGAGAGAGGGAGAGAGAGCAAGCACAGGCAGACAGAATGGCAGGCAGAGGCAGAGGAAGAAGCAGGCTCCCTGATGAGCAAGGAGCCCGATGTGGGACTTAATCCCAGGATGCTGGGATCATGACCTGAGCCGAAGGCAGCTGCTTAACCAACTGAGCCACCCAGGCGTCCCTCAAATCACTATTTTCTTTTAAGATTTTATTTATGTATTTGACAGACAGAGATCACAAGTAGGCAGAGAGGTAGGCGGGGGTGGGGGGAGCAGGCTCCCTGCTGAGCAGAGAGCCCGACGTGGGGCTCGATCCCAGGACCCTGAGATCATGACCTGAGCTGAAGGCAGAGGCTTAACCCACTGAGCCACCCAGGCGCCCCAAATCACTATTTTTGTATCCTTTGGATAAATGCCTAGTAGTGCAATTGCTGGGTAGAAGTACCCGAGCTGTGTAATTTTAACTCTTCACCCCAAGTTAGAGGTTAGGTCTCAAACTAAGTATTACAATGAATTACTGAATTCATATGAACTAATAAAGGAAGGTGAAAGAAGCCCGTTAAATGGTAAAATCAAAAGAGAGGATTAAAACTTGGCTTTCTTGGGACATTATAAATGTTCTTATTGGTTTACTGAATATATAATGCTCTGGGGGAAATCCTGGAACCCAGCCGGTCTTCCTTGGCCACTGCCTGCCTGGCAAAGTCAATCTTTACTGTCACTTTAATATGTCTAAAGCAGTATGTGTTCACTAGAGAAAAATCAGAAAATAGAAGCCAAAAAAGGAATAAAAAAACCTCCCACAATCCTATTTATTCAAAATTAACTATTTTAATACCCTAGTTTATATGCTTTTAAACCCTGTTCTCTGTGTATCTTACTTATGCATGCATATATGTATAAATTCTTAGTGGGATCACAGAATATGTATGGTTTTGTGCATGCTTTTTTATATTTATTTATTTAGAGCACCCACGCCAGCCTGAGCAAGGGGAGGGATAGAGGAAGAGGGAGAGAAAGAATCAAAAGTAGACTCTGGGGGGGTGGGGAAGTAGACTCTGAGCTGAGCACAGAGCCCAATGCAGGACTTTATCCCACTACACAGAGATCATGACCTTGATGAGGT